TGTTCTTAAAAATGGGCACCAGTACACTTCTCCATTCTTCAGGCATTTTCTCACCCTCATATGCCATTGAATATTTGAGTCATAAACCTCACTCCATCTCTCCAAAATATTTCCAAACCTCCACTGGTATGTCATAAGGTCCTACTGCCTTCCCCTTCTTCATTCTTTTCAGAGTTTTCTGGACTTCACCTTCACTACTCTTTCCTACTTCTTGTCTACATTTTCTATGACCTCTATTCTTCTTTCTCTTTCATTCTCTTCATTCTTTAGCTCCTCAAAGTACTCCTTCCATCTTCCCATCACACTCACGTTTTTAACTTTAATTATAATTTTTTTATTGAGATACATTATATCTCCTCAAATCTATGAAAACTTCTGTGCTCTTTAAAAATCTTAAGCATGCTTGCTTCGTTTCTTTCCTTTTAACTACTGTTTAGCAAGTTTTAGCTTTTAGCAACTGTTTTTTTTTTACTTTAACTTTTTTGTATTGTCTTACTGTTTTGAGTTTTTATTTTCTGTTCTGATCATTGAAGCTTACCACAATGACTTTACTTGATTTAGCTTTTAGCTATTTAGCTTTTAGCTCCTAGGATAAATCAGCATATGTGCTGATGATGTCACCACCATCAGAAATGTTAAGAGCTACCCCAACCAGAAACCATGGCTGAATGCAGAGGTTCGTACTATGCTGGAAGCCATGGACATTTCCTTCAGGTCTGGCAACTCACAGGAGCTGAGAAGGACAAGGAAAGAGCTGGTTGCTGGTATTGAAAGAGCCAAAGCCACATATGCCCAGAGGATCCAGGGTCAATTCACCTCACAAAACCCACGGAGCATGCGGAAGGGCATTAAGTGTATAACAGATTATGAAGACAGGGGTGCACAATGCCCTAGGGACTCATCTGTCTGATGCCCTCAACAAGTTATATGCATGCTTTAAAGACCCTAACAAACCACCCAGAACCAGATTCACCTCACCACCAGAAGAGGAGTTTCTCAGAGTGACCTCAGCCAAAGTGAGGAGTGCTTTCAGAAGGTTTAATCCTCACAAAGCAACTGGCCCAGACAACATTTCGGAGAAGTTGCTGAGAGACTGTGCCAATCAGCTCTGCGAGGTGCTGGCTGACATCTTTAACTCCTCAGTCACCCTGGCAACAGTTCCCACCTGCCTGCAGACTGCCACCATCATCCCTGTCCCAAAGGGCTTTACAGTGACTGGTCTGAATGACTATTGGCCAGTAGCCCTCACACGATTGTCACTAAATGCTTCAAAAGACTGGTCATGACCCACATCAGAACAACCATCAACATCAGCGAGGGCCCCCACCAGTATGCATACTGCAAGAATCGATCAACAGAGGACGCATCTCCTCTATGGCCCACACTGCTCTCACCCACCTGGAGCAGAAGGACTCCTATGTCCATATGTTCTTTGTGGACTTCACATCTGCCTTCAACACCATGGTTCCCAGACCCTAATGGACAAACTACTCACACTAGGACTGAACCCCACCATTTGCAACTGGGTCCTAGACTTCTTAACAAACAGACCACAGTCAGTGAGGATCCACAACTTCTCTTCCTCCACCATAACCCTCAGCACTGGCTCTCCTCAGGGCTGTGTGTTGAGCTAACTTCTGTTCACTCTGCTCATGTATGACTGTACACCTACCCATCCAGGCTGTCATATTGTAAAGTTTGCAGACAATACAGTGCTGGTTAGATGCATCACAAACAACATGTCCAACTACAGGCAGGAGGTGGAACACCTGGAGAGCTGGTGCAGGAAGAACAAACTTCACATAAATGTGAAGAAGATGGTCGTGAACTTCAGATGGAACACCCCCCCCCCCCCCCAATATAGGAGGATCTGTGGTCGGAGTGGTCTCCAGCTACAAGTACTTGGGTGTGCACCTGAATGATGACCTCAGCTGGGGCAACAACACTACCAGCTTGATCAAGACAGCACATCAGAGACTCTACTTCCTCAGGCGGTTGAGACGAGCTAGTCTGGGAAGCTCAGTCCTCACCTCCTTCTACAGGTGTGCAGTGGAGAGCATCCTGTGTTCCAGCATCAACGTGCGTGTGGCATGGAGGCTGCACAGCTGCAGAAAGAAAAGCTTTGCAGAGAGTGGTGAAGGCTGCACAGAAGATTGTTGTAGTCAGTCTCCCCACCATCACAGACATCTACACCTCCATATGCAGGAAGAGGCACACCTGCATCATGAAGGACCCCACTCACCCAGCACACACACTTTTTGCCCCGCTCTACTCAGGCAGGAGGTTGAGGAGCATTAAGTGTAGAACCCCTAGACTGAGGAACAGCGTCTACCCTGAAGCTGTTAGACTCATGAATCCTTAATCAAGATTATCACTGTAGAACAAAAATCACTGTAATGCCACTTGATTGTTGATATGTGCTGCTGATTATCCATGTTGCTGATCTTATGCTGCTGATTTATTTCATGCTGCTGTGTTCATTCATACTCATCTGCTCACACAGACTCATGTTTGTGCTGCTGTTGTTCGGCATATTGTTTTTGTACTATTAATGCTTTGCATATTTTTACAAAGTAGTTTAGTGTAGGGCAGCACGGTGGCGCAACTGGTAGAGCTGCTGCCTCTCAGCGAACAGGTCCCTGGTTCAAACCCCAGTCCAGGGGCCTTCTGGGTGGAGTTTGCATGTTCTCTCCGTGCATGCGTGGGTTTTCTCCGGGTACTCCGGTTTCCTCCCACAGACCAAAAACATGCATGTTAGGCTGATTGGTAACTCTAAATTGTCCCTAGGTGTGAGTGAGAGAGTGAATGGTTGTTTGTCTCATTTGTCTCTATGTGGCCCTGTGATGGACTTGCGACCCGTCCAGGGTGTACCCCGCCCCTCGCACAGTGATTGCTGGACATGGGCACCAGCGACCCCCGTGACCCAAAATGGAATAAACGGGTAAAGATAATGGATGGATGGATGGATGGATGGACTTTGTTGGATGTAACTGGGACCCTGTGTACACAGTTCAGTTCTATCACATGCACCACATGTGATGAGAATGACAATAAAGAAGCCTTGGCCTTGACCTACCTTGACTAACTTTAGTGTATAGCTAACTTTGGCTACTGTTTTACTCATTTTATCTTTTAGCTTTGATTTTAGCTTGTCTTAGCTTTAAGATACTGTTTTGCTGGTTTTAGTTTTAGTTCAGTTTTGATTGTCTTTTTTAACAACTCATTTTCAGCTTTTTCAACTTAATTCAGCAAAGTCTCTGAGCTCTCAGTGTTAACTTTGCAATTTAGAAATATATATATATAAAGTTCTGGGCGCCTCCCTAGGGAGATGCTCGGGGCATGTCCAACTGGGAAGAGTCTCATAGGAAGACTCAAAGCACACAGAAGAAACTGTCTCTTGGCTGGCCATGGGATCACGGTCCTCCCAGCAGAGCTAAACGGTGGCTGGGGAAAGAGATGTCTGGGCCTCCCTGCTTAAGCTGTTGTCCCCACGACCCGACTGGAAAAAGAGGACAATAATGAATTGTAATGACACACTTTATACATCTTGGGCATGGCGTTGCTGGGGCAAAACTTAATTAACTCAAATCTTATCAAACCATCCATTATCTTGACCCACAACTTCCTTTTCAGGTTGCAAGGATCACTGGTGCCCATATGCAGCAGTCACTGTGCAGGTTTGCAGTCCATCACAGGGACGTAGAGCCAAATGAGACAAACAACCATTCAGTCTCTCATTACACCTATGGACAATTTAGAGTTACCAATCAACCTAACATACATGTTTTTGGTCTGCGGGAGGAAACTGGTGTACCCGGAGAAAACCCACACATGCATGGAGAGAACATGCAAACTCCACCCAGAAAGGCCTGCGGTTCGATCTGGCAACCTTCTCCCTGAAAAGCAACAGTCTACCAACTGAGCTTGGCTATTTCATTGTTGGGTCATCTTGAGAAACCTGAACAGCTTATTTGTTGTGAAACAAAGCAGGAGTAAAGTAAGGGTCATGTCAAAAACACATTTGTTTTCAAGTTGCCTAATATAAAATGTAACACTAAAGTAACAGGTAAAATAATGTAGATATTTAAATCCAGCTCTATTCCACTCTGGTATTTAGTTCAGATTAATAAGAGGCTGAAGATGAAACCTCAGCCTGTGTGTCGTTCAGTCATGATTTATTTAAAGTTGAGACTTGTCGTAAAATATCTCAAAACTTACCATATAAAACTTTTGACTAAATATTAGGTTGAGAAATTAAATCATAATGCTCGCAATATATTTATGTTTTTGATTTGAAAAATATCCGAATTCTCTCAGCTTTGTTTCCACAATGCACCCTTAAAATCAGAACATTAACACAAATGCAAGTGACTAATGAAACAAGGAAGAGTGAGGTCATTCTTGCTGATGGAGGAGTATTAATTGCTTCATATTATAGTGTGTCATCTCACAGTATAAAACAAGCTCATAATGTTTGAGGTCCTGAATGGTACTGTTTATTCATCTGACAACTTTATTTTGGGTTGCTTTGCTCAGACAATAAAAAAATCCCAATGTGACCTCCCTTGGACTCACTGGAACCTATTGACCAGTTAGATCCATTTGTTTCCCAGCCATTTCAGATGTTGTTCATTTTTATCACATTACTTTGACAGAAATTGAATTTCCTCTGATGCATTTTTATGTATCCTAAGTGCTGCTCTGGTCCTTCACGGAGTATAGTGTTTCCAGTGGTGTGATGATGCAAAAAACACTTTTACAGGAGAGAGGAAACATATTTTATTTTAATGTGTGCATTTATTTTAATGTATTGTAAAATATAGGTTTGTTTTTCAGGAATATATCATCAGTAGGACACTTAACTTTCCTTAGAAAGTCACATGTAAAGATCTGTCTGTTAGACCAAAACAATGTAATCTATACAACAGAGACACCATAACACTGTGAAGAAATCCATCACCTGAAAAAAGCGCAAACAGATACTATAATGTTGCAAGTTTTATTTTTCTTGATTAAAAAAATCTTTCAGCAGGACTGTGATAGGTGCTGATCTGATCTTGTGGACAAAAGGGGCCTGTTGCTGCTTCACTTTCATCAAATTGCAACAGAGTTGCAAAAGGTGGCAAACCTAGCCCATCTCATTAAACACTCCATGGGTCCCGAATGGGATACAGACAGAGACCTCGGCTCTGCCCAGCTCTGTGAAGGTCTTGGCATCCAGAACTAGCAGGAAAGTACTTTTCTCCTGGAAACAGAAAAAATATATATGTTATAGTAAAAAAGGAAAAAAAAGAAAAATCCCAGGACACCTTCCCATTATAATGATAACAAATGCTGCAAAACGTGTCTTCCCTTTCAACAGTTTGAGTGTTTCAGATGCAAAGAAATGTTATATTTTTGATCACATGCCTTTTTAAAAAAAATAAAAATCCAATTGTGAAAAAATAAGGTGATGTTTAAAATTTAAATGAAATGCTTTAAAAAAGTATTTAAGCCATATGCTGTTCACAGTTGAACTTAGTAACCATATCAAATCTTTAAACAATGAATCTGTCCTATTAGTATTTAAAAAAACAAGGCTAATTTTAAATTTTATGGCAGCAACACATAAAAAAGTTGAGACAAGAACATGTTTACCCCTGAGAAGTATCCTTTCTTCTTTTAACTATACTGTAATCTTTAAATATCTAGGAACCGAGGAGACCAGCTCCTGTTTTTGAATGTTGTTCCGTTCAATTCTGATCTAGGATTTATAAATAATTTAGTATTGTACTGCTAAAATAGGAAAGACCTTCTTTGAATAAAGACCCTCTGGATGAGAGTGCATGTTCTAAAACCTGTATACATGCTTTCTCATTGATGTGCCATTCCAGCTGTGTAAGGTGCCTGTACTAAAGGCCCTAATACACCCCCATACCATCAGAGAGACTGGGTTTTGAACTGTGTGCAGATAACAGGTCAGATGGTGCTGCTCCTCTTTATTATAAAGAATGGGGCATTTTTGCTTTTCAAAAACAATTTTAAGTTTTGATCCATCTGACCACAAGACAGTTTTCTACTTTGCCCCAGTCCATTTTAAAAGGTCAAATATTCTTAGTTATGTTTACTACGTTCTATTGTGACAAAGAAATATGGATTTATGAAAGTTGCAAGCCATTGAATTTTGTTTTTATTTAGATTTTACACAATGTTCCAACTTTTTTAGATGGGGTAGTAAATCTTATATTGCTCAGAGTAATTACCATATTTTCTGGCATATAAGTCGCAATTTTTTGCATAGATTTGTCAGTCCTTCGACTTATACGCCGAAGCGACGTATATACGTTTTTTTACTTTTTTTACATAGTCATAACGCAATTTTTGACTGACGCTTTAAATTTCTAAGAACAGCAACAGTAAGTTCTCCGTGCACGCTCACTTCACTCAGCTGGTGCAGGCGGAGGAACGCTGGAGAGCTGGCGGCTCTGGCCATGATGGATGGATGGATGGATGGATGGATGGATGGATGGATGGATGGAT